GCTGTGATCATACAGCACTGCAATCTTCTGTGAATGTCCTGGACTTACAATGTTTCTGAGCTCATCAGTGTAACTAGTGAAACTGTTTATTTGACCACTCCTAATATTCCCGCTCTCTCCCTCTGTGTTGGAGAGTGTTTTATATATGAAGCCTAAGGATGGCCCGTTTTTCTTCTATTATGTCTTTTGACCAGATGTTATGAGTTTTAAAAAAAAGCTTCCAAATGTAAATGTTGCACCTGAAATAATCTTCAGATCTTTCACCTGCTGAATTTATTAAGAAATAACAACAACAACAAAAAAAAGCTCACAGCTGTCCACAGCACAGTGCATTTTCCCATTACCATCCATCCATCGTCATCCGCTTTGTCCGGGGTCGGGTCGCGGGGGCAGCAGCCTAAGCAACGTTTTCCCATTACATTTAAGACATTTAGAGGGCTGTGTAAAGGTCATGCCATATTTTTCTCCTTAAACTAAAGGAGCCCCTGGAGTAAATGTTTCCATGTTTCAAATAACTGTCTTAAAAATGTTTTGGTACACAGCTAAAAAGACAAAAAATACACCAGTGTCTCAAAAATCTATGGATTCAACTGTATTTTTAAATCAAACATGGCTTGCAGCTTCCTATAATGTACTAAACGTATTGTTATTGTCTAATTGTACCTTCAGGTGCAAGGAACGATACCCGTAAGGCCATTGAGAGCGCTATCTGCGTGCCTCACGACTTCCACTGCGTTCACTCCCAGATGAAGAAGCTGAGAGAGAAGCTGGCCGGCTCCCTGCTGATGGCCTCTCAGATCTACTATAATTCACGTATTACTATCACAGTGTGAAGTATATCACAGAGCAGAAAATCACAGATCGTAAGAGATAAAATGATTTCTATTTCGGCTCTCCTCCTTAGACATGAATCTGAGTGAGTCCTTTACCGACCAGTCGATCCAGTTTTATGATGCGGAGCCCACAAAGCTGCTGAATACCACCGAGGAAAACACACAGATGATCAACAGCTGGGTGGCAGAAAAGACCCAAAATAAAATCACAAAGTTGCTTGACTTTGTCCCACAAAGTTCACAGCTGATCCTGCTCAACGCCGTCTCCTTCAGCGGTCAGTAAACTGTGCGCACACCTTATGCACATTTCAAAAATGTGGAGACTGATGAACTGTGTTTACGTGTGTTTTAGGTCAGTGGAAGGTCAAGTTTAACCCAAACAATAAAAAAGGATATTTCACAAAATTTAATGGTGATGTGGTAACGGTGCCTCTTCTCTATCATGACAAGTACATGGCAACTATGATGTATGATCCTCACCTAAAGGCACAGGTAAGGAACAAACCACCAACTGACACTTTTCACAGCAATATGTGTCTAAATCCTACACAGACCTTTCTGCCACAGGCAACAGAAGTGACATCCTGTCTTCATCGATTCCTACAGGAAACATGCGTGTTATGTTTCTTTAATGTTGAGCTTTTCATCTTTAATGCACATCTAAACTGCTCTACTAACTCACAAAACATACAGTTTGAACAGTAGCTTTATGTTTAAATTTCATCTGTCATTTTACGGTTATTTTAATTTTATATCACAATTACTATGCAGTTTATTCCTGTATAAGTAAATATGCTAAAATACTTCAGATCTATAGCATTCAATTTCCTGTTCCCCAAAGGGTCAGTTTCTTGTCTCTAGTCTTGTCTCTTGAGCTATGACAGGTATCAGAGTCGTAACCAGAATCCAGCATCTGATAGTCCATGATTCCGGCGACCTGCAGTCCTGTGCAAAAGTCTTGAGCCACCTCTCCTTTCCTTATATTTTACTTCCAAGGAACCAGACGGTATCATTTTTTAAAGTGGTCTGCAGCTCTCCAGGCTTTCTGAAGGTCCCTTTATAGTTTTTCTTTGGACATCGGTTGCTTTTTCTTTCACTCATTTTCAGTCCAGGCCTGTGTAACTGACCATTTTCATAAGAATGCTATTACTACAAAAATGGGAAAAGTCTTTTTGTTCCTGAAGCCATTTAACACTGACCATTGAAATGAACAAACAAGTAAAGAACCAATTTTAAATTCTATCTTCAGGCACAAACACAATTTGTATATTTTTGTTGTTGACTCTATGCAAAATAACAAAGATAACACAGTTATAAGAGCATTAAATAGTATTTTTGCACCAACAAGGTGATTCTAAAAAAGCTTTTATCTAAAGGGTTGGTGTATTTCAGCATGCTGTGCAGTGTGCCCTTAAAAAAAAGAGGAAAATGGACAAGTGGAAGACCAAAAAACAAAAGCTATCTATGCTTCCTCAGAGAGTTCAGGCTGTGTTGAAGAATAAAAGCAGATTTTGACTTTCAGGCACGTTAGAATTGTACAAACTCAGTTTTTGTCATATATATCATATTTTCATTATATTGCTAAACATTTTCCAAGGAAAATGAGCGATGGCTCAAGATTTTTGCACAACAGTAGATATCTTTAAGTTGGTAAACACGTCGGTGGCCTCAGTGCACCGTGGTTTTGCTCAGATGAGTTAGAGAGTCAACAAAGTTACTAAATTTACTGCACCACTGGTGCATTTTCTTTTTTCACTCCTTACAAAACAATACACAGAGAATATTTCCATCTCATGGACAACCAGATGACTTAAACAAAGTTAATGCCAGCCAAACAGTTACAGGCACTGATACTATCATGTGTATTACAATGATGAGATACATTTTTTTACATCTCAGGTTTGTTTTAAATGCCAGTGGTAAAAACAGATGGTCTCATAATGATCTCTTTTGTCACTTATTAACACTTCCAGTATTTTTTTTTATCTTTTTTGGCCAACAGGTGGCGAGGTTTGCCCTCACAGGAGACAGCAGTCTTTACATCCTGCTGCCTTCCACCAACACAGAGGCAAAGCTGGAGGAGATCGAGCAGAAGATGACCGACAGGACTGTGGTTCAAATGATACAAAACATGAAAACAGCATCTCCTCAGCATATTGAGGTCACTCTGCCCAAAATCAAACTGAATTTCCAGCCGGAAATGAACACGCTTATCAAGAAACTAGGTTGGTTCATCTTCTGTGCTCTCTTCTCTTTCCAACCCAACATCTGACCTTTTTTTGTATTACCAAAAATAAACACCACCCATGCCTTCATCCTGTGCAGTTTAGCTAGCAGTAAATATTAGGTTCCCATTTATGAAATATGTCTCTACGTTTGCTTTTTGATCTCAAAGCATCTCCACCACATGCTTGGCTCTCTTACCTGCTTTCACCCTCACTACTACCTTTTCTGTACTTTTCACTCCCTTTCCAGGACTGTCAGTGCTTTACGAGGGTGCCGACCTGTGTGGCCTCTACCCTCAGGAGAAACTGTTCCTGGACGACGCCAAACACAGAGCCTTCCTCGCATTGACCGAACAAGGAGTGGAGGCCGGCGCTGTCACCACCTTGTCGTTCTCCCGCTCCTTCCCTTCCTTCTCAGCCCTGCGGCCTTTCATCATGCTGCTGTGGAGTGACCACACCAATGTGCCGCTCTTTATTGGCAGGTTGACCGAGCCGTGAGAGGAGAACATAACGAGGGATGGGGAGTAAAATGTGCAGGAAACGACAGGCAATGTTTAACAAAGGCTGCTTTGCTGCTGTGTTTGAAGTAATTTGAAGAATTTTTCTGAAAATTCAGTTGTTAAGAATCAATATTGCTTTAAATAGTCTAGTTACTAAAGTGAGCAGTGACTTGTGGATTTGGATTATCTTCCGAGATGATGATAAATAAACACATATCTACACAACACACATGGTGCTTATCTTATGTTCTTGAAGAATCACATGTTCAAAGGAGGACAGACGCCCACTGATACAGCTCTGATTTATTTTGAGAAGTACTTACACAAACCCACCACAGGATGGCAGCCATACTGTGTGATTGACATGGACAGTGAATACACAGGGACTGCAACAGTGATTTTCCCATCTCATTCCCTCCTCAGCCCTCCCGCATCATCACCACTGATAATAATTCAAGGAAGACGAGTGTCAAAATCGGCGACAGTAAAGGTTTTTTGTTCGTTAAAGCGAGAGCTTGCTCGGAAAAGCGAAGCGAACTGAGCAAAAAAGATACCCTGAATCGTCGTATTCACAAACAAATACACAGATGGCGAGGAGTCTGAATGCATGGCACGTCGGCATTCAGAACGATCAGCTAAGGTTGCACTCTATTATACAAGCTGATGGGGATTGCTAAACATGCAGCTGTACTGCAGATTGAAATGATTACATAAGCAAAGCAGGGTCAATAGACAAAGAGTCAGAAAATTCAGTGACTGTAAACAAAACGAACAGATCCAGAGACGGAAACAAATAACCACCCAGCCAGAAATGTGAACTCTATTTGATCACTGCCAACCAGAGATGTATCCTTAATGCCTGGATAATACGATAATGTTGTTTTGGTTTGATTATCTCACTGCTGACGTGCTGGGAGTCTCAATGTGCATAGACAGAGTGCAGAATAAACCTACCACCCTTTCCCAAATCTTACTGACATTATTTAAGCTCTGAATGAAAATATCCTGAAGCCTCAAAGTGTTTTTTATTAGTGTCCAAGCCCTTTATTCTTATCCTAATCCAACTTTGGAGGATCTACTCTCTCTCTCTCTTTTTTTTTTTTTTTTGCTGTCAGCAATCAGACATTCACAAGGTTATCGAAGGACACCAAGAATATGAGCAGCCAGATCGATTCAACAGTTAGAAAACTCCCCGAGGCCACTGACCCACCGTGCATGTGCTTCTCTGAACAAGTGTATGGCCAGAGCTGCTGTGACAGATGAACCAGGGGACGACATCTGATATCCTGGCAGGCATGTAGATAAGTTTTATATATATGAAAATGCTGAAATGTGCACAAAGATCCACGGCATGCATGCAGCTCGATGAAAATGGGATCTTATTGTTGTTGGATCTGTGCGTTTCCACTGACCCTGAAGGATGTAATTGCCTTTACACCGAGAGGTTAAATTATAGGAAGGCTCTTGTACCAAAAGCAAAGTTTTATCTGAACAGGAATTCCTGTGTTTAATAGACGTGTAGATGATTTAGAAGAGACCTGATATTTAACAGGTCAAAAATAACGGGACAATCAGACGAAACACTGACTCCCTCTGATGGCTGATCTCACCTTCAGCCAGATGTCTTCTACCAATATCGAATGTCTGAGGTCGTGCAGATGTGGGTTAGGGAACCTTTTCGAGCTGTTTATAAAAATCAGATAACCGAACTAATCAAATTCCTGTATCTTTAAATTCAAAATATGTGACACCGCACTGACGAAAGAAGATGTTGCATAACTGGTGTTTCTGTTGGAGCAAAAATTACAGTCACTGAGGTAAACTGTCTTGAATCCAGATGAAATTTGTTTCAGAAATGCTGCAACACAGTGCAGGATACTCTGAAAGACATCGTTTTGCCTGCTGTGGACACAGCTTTGGGCTTTCATCAGACAGGAGCAGTCAAAGGTTACGCACCACAGTATTTGCCTTTCTTAAAGTTGCTCTTTTGGCTTTCTGGCAGTGGGAGACAGAGATAGCAAAGGCCTGGAACAAGTGGCCAAGCGCACTCGTACCACTGAGGCCTGCGGTGGTAACAGAGGATTTCTCTCTTTTGTCCTTTTTTAAAAAACATTCCCTCGCACCTCTGCGCTTCTGAATTCGGATGGAGACGTTTTGAATGGGGCATGACGTGAATACAGATTAACAGACGCTGCACAGGCAGAAAAAGCAGGCACTCATAGTCTCACAGCCTTCACGCACGCGCACATTTTGACACATTATCGTCTCATGTGAAGGTGGATAAAACACCACTGTCACCAGAAGACAATGAAAATACATAAAAACAATGAAAAGGTAAAGGTAGAAATCCACCCAACGGATCTTTTTGTGCTTTATAATACGGTGTGTTGTTTTGCATTAGATAGACATCCACGAAGATAAGAGACTTCTCACGACAATCATCCTTTCGTAACATCCCTCCCCCCCCCGCTCCTGCATCTGCGTACCACATAATGAGTCACAAAGGGTGCACATACTGTCAGGTACTTTCACTGAATGAATTTTGAGTGCATTAGTCTCAAATCTGGTCATTATGCATAAAATTTGAATGGACATGAGCAACTTCTACAATACGGTACGGTCTAAAGCACAATTTAGTGAGCTTTGTTTTGTTACGTCAACACTTTAATGAGGACATTGTCACAATTTGGTTTACCTTGGAAAAGAAAAGTATTCAGATTACACCTTATTACCATCACTAATATTAGTATGAATATCATATACTAATACTCTGCGCCGTATTTATTGGCAATATGAGACAGATTTTAATCAGTATTGTTATTGCATGTTTTATCCTTTGTTCTTATTTCTTCCTTACTCACATTCTGTTATCGGCCATCGTTCAGTGAGACATAAATATGTGTGTGTGTGTGTGTGGTATAGTGCATTTGCATGTGTGTGCATTTATGCGTTTGTATTATGAATGTCTTGTATAATCTAGTCCGGTTTGTCACTGCTTGGGGCTCCTTGCTGCGTGAGCGTATGCCAGTACTCGACTTTCTTCCCTTTGTTTTTGAGACACTCGAACCAGTGTCTGAGTCTCTCTCCGCTCGCATTGATGCCCAGCTCCACTCCTCCTGCAAACACACAGAGGGAGAAGCAGAGGAAACAGAGAGGAGTCAAGAGGCGAAGGAAAACTTGTTTGCTGGTGAGGACGATAAAAGGAGACAGAAACTGGGAGGAGGTGAAGATGACTAATAAGGAAACAAAATAACTAACAAACTAAAGAAAGAAAAATTTGAATTTGCTTTTCATTTTTAAAAAAATACTCTTTATGAATCTGAAATTCCTGATCCTTTTAGCATAGCTATCAGAGGGAAAACAATCACAACACTCACTTATGTGAAATGTTTGCAGGGACCAAAGAATGGTCCAGATCTTTCTAAAGAGCCCCCAAAAATCTGGGAAATACTGGATCATCCTTACCAATGCACTGTACATTATCCTGGGACCTTACAAAACATTATCTTTACAGTTTAAGTAACACATTTCTCATGAATTGGAGTGGCAGTGTAGAGTGGAATATAATCAAGTTCAGTACCTCAAAATTGGTACATTAGTACAAGGCGTGTTTAAAGATTGATTGAATCTACCAACAAAAAGCAAAAAAAACAAAGCATCTCTGCTTTAAATTTTACCCCTGTCTGCTCCTAGATCTTCTCCTTGTGAAGCACTGTGAGCATTAAGGCACATCTGCTATGCTTGGACTGCTCCCCAGAAGCTCCAAACATAACGAGAGTTAATCGTCCAGTTTTAGCGGTCATTATTGGGGAAGCCTGCAGACTCCAAGCTTGAAGAAGGGGCATTAGTTAGGAGCACAAGCAGGAGCATATGCTCACAGCTTTATCAACTCTTTCAGGGTTTTGCATTGTGAATTTGCTCCAAAGGAGTCCAACTGGACCACAATTTGTGTCCCGAGGCTTCAAAAGAAGAACCATAACTGCACACAGCTTTAGTTATGGAGCTCGCCCTCGTGCCACCATCCACCTACCAGTGCTGGGTAATCACATTACAGTTTTCTTCAAAGTAACGTGAACTGTGATGAATTCAATAATTACACCTACTGTAATACTGTTACAGATGTTAGTGATTAATGATCATCAAATGCGCCTTTTTCTTCCTAAACATTTCCCTAATCAGCTGATTTCAGTTGGGCAGGGAGTGGACTGCAGCCTTTGAGAGGTGGCATATGGATGTTGCTTTTATTTTTTATTTTTTATTGCATGATAAGAACAATAGCCTGATCGTAAAGTGCAGATTGCATCCAGGACAGAAGCAGCTACCCATTGCTTGTGATAAGAGAGCCAATGCTCTCTGTACAGACAGCATGCTAACACAAAGCTAGCCAAGAACACAGAGTGAAGTGTAGGGATGGGAACTGATAAGAATTCAGTGCTGCCGATTCCATTAGTGATTCTCCTATTGAGTTCTCACTGGCTCTGCTTTGAGAGTGACCACCATCGCTAAGCAGCATGTCATAAATGCTACATTTATACAAATTTCTCTGTAAAACGACCTGAAACACACTGTCTCATAATTACCATTTAACAATATAAACTGAGGCTACACACCAACACAAATGCCAATCCTAACAGGGACACACATGTGATCTTTCTCTTAGTGTTTAGGTATGAACACAAAGTTAACAGCACAAAGCAAAGATGAGAACCAGCACAGAGACTTTCAAGTGATTCTACTGTAGAAACATGAACAGGTGGAAAGGAAAGCTGCAGCCTGACCGATCATCAGTTTGTTACCTGTTGAATTTAGGGTCTGGCTGCTTGGCTGGGGTCAGCATTCACTCAGCTTTATCACCACTCTGGGTTCTTGGCTAGCTTAGCGTTAGCATGCTGTCTACAGGATGCAGTTTGGACTTTATCATTGTGCTCTTGTCCATTTGTACAATACAAATAATGCTAATCTCCACATCCACTCTACACACTATTTTCCACCTCCTGAACATTAACTGAAATCACCTGATTGTAGCTCAAGTGCAACTGAAAAGATAAGTTGATAGGCAATGACTGATCAATACTGATTGATAGGAGAGCACACTAATAATCCCCGTCCCTAGTGAAGTTAAAGCTGAGTGTATGTATGCTGCCCCCCAGCACAGCCAGAGCAAAAACAGCAATGATCAGTCAGTCTTGCAGGACTTTTGTCTTATGTTCTAACAGAACACCACTGTGGCGATTGCTGTAAAGTGTTTTTGTGTTTCATATTTAAACACTAAAAGAAAGGTCTCTGGTGTCCTTATTGAGACAGGAATCTGTGTCAGTGTTTAGAAGGTAAAATGCATCTCATGCTATGCTAAATGAGTAACACAAGAGTAATGTAATTACTGAGTATTTCAACTAGTTTTTTCTCCAAGGACTGATTAATGCATTACTTTTTAAAAAGTGACAAGTACCTTCTTCTGAGTAGTAACCCCAACATGGCGACTAGCATGACCACACACATAGCACAATCATCGTAGCTCTGAGATCCAGCTTCTAAATGTGATCATCCTTCCCAAAATATAATTAAAAGTGTGAGGAAGGAAGGGAATCCAGTGTGGGATAGAGATGAGCAATTGCAGATCATAGTTAGACTTCCAGGAAGCAAGTCGAGGAACACTCAGGGCGAATCATAACTACATGACCTTAAGAACAGCAGCAATATTAATAAATGTATGTTTTCTGTGAAGAAGTGCAAATCAGTTGTTGTTGGGTTTTTTTGTTTTTTAACTTTGTTGTTAAAAAGTAATCTTTAATAATATTTAATTAGGAACAGCCAACAATGGATTATATTAAAATTTATGTAAATATCTTTATTTGCTGCCAGACTGTCATGTAAGGACAGAAGGAAGCAAAAAGGCCTTCATGTCAAATTTTCCCTGACGGAGAGAAAGAGAAATTTAAGGTAGCTGGAAAATAACAATAAATTGAAATTTTGATGACTGATTTTACAAGCATTGGATGCGCTGGGAATAAACAAGTGGAGAAACAAGAAATACTTCAAGTGAGGTAATGGAGCCACTGGCGGAGGGGTGCAACGTATGATAAAGCTGCACACAGCTGTCACGCTGGGGATACAAAGTCTTTCTCTTGGCTGTGATTGCATAAGAGTGCCTCAGAAACTGACAGCCACGAGCAAACAAGGCTCGGTTTTTGATCTACGCCTTTTCTGAGCACGGGACCGAGCGTCGCCTGAGACGCTGCTGCTGGGAGGAGAAGAGGAGCGATCTACAGATCATCCCTCGCTTTCCTCTCACAGAATCATGCAACTTGTAGAACAGGTCTAAACCTGTTGACAGAGTTTCGATAGGATAATCACGCACGACACTTTGTCACTTTCGCTGCACGCCCCCGCAGCACTCCCACCACCTCCCAATAGTGATCGATGGAGTGTTCCCCAGGCCCGCTGGCTGCTAGTGACAAACGAATGGCCAGCCATCCTGACACACACTGGGGGACAGAAGAAGGATGAGGAACTGGAGCCGTGGGGAGACGTGGCGGCTGACGCACAGGCTGGTGGGCTGGTGCGTGCCAAAACTCGCACGGTTTTACCCCTGCTCTCTCCTCACTTCTCCTCCGCTGCAGATCCCTCTCATTAAACCCCACCAGCGGATGAATAACTGCTTGTGGTGAACCAAGCATTTAGCAGAGCCATAGATCTGAAAGAATCAATAGGCGTCAAAGTTCCTACTGAAACACTGAACTGCATCTGAATTTCTCTGTTCCACACAACTTTCCAATCCTTTTATGGGTGGAGGCGTGTCCAGCAGTGTTTTTGGGCCATCAGATCAACAGTTTTACAAACACCAACCTATTAATGTTCGATCACTCAAAGTCCCTCACAGGACTGACACCTGTAGGTGAACACGAGTAGGTGAAGGTAAATTAAGGTAAATAAGTGTTTAAAAGAGAAACCATTAAGACTTGCTGTATATTAAATTACATTTGCCTTTTTAAGCAAGCATGTCGCATAGCTTTATATGTTAAATATTAAGCTTATTAATTTGGGTAACCTGATCTTATCCCTCATAAACATCAAGCAATAATTAAAGTCTTTTTTTTGCATGTGTATACATTCAAAGCTCTCGACTTCCACAGTTTTAAATGCAACATGTTCAAATACAACACATTTTAAATGAAAAGCACTAAGGGAAGCACAGATGACTTTAAAATTTCTAAAGGACACTTTTTACCTGCCCTCAAAATTTGAACTGGAGCTTGATTTGATGGCAGCGCAGTAACTGGATTCATGGGTTTCTGTCTGTGCAGTTGTGGCATCATTACATTGCAATAAGCATAAAGTCTCTTGCGATTTGGCATCGTGATTAAAACCAAGATTGAACTGAATCGGAGATATCAGACTTGGAACACAGTCCCACTGTTTTGAGACTGTGCTCGCGTGGCCTTTTCATCAACTCTTTATCCGCTTTTTTGGCTTTGAGACTTGACTTTGAAGGGAACCGATTGGAAACAGCTCAGAGGTTTAGATTTGGCTCATGGTGAAGATGAAATTTCCCAACTCTCTTCATG